TTTTTCAAAGCAAGTAATGTCTTTTAAGTCTGCATTTTCACACCTATCAAATCCATAAGCTGCACACATCCTCTCTGACATTTCAAAATTGCACTGGTTTTGCCTCACTATCTGAGCCCAAATTAGGTGAGTTAAGTAACTGTGTTTAAGCATACATAATTTTATCAAATCTACTGTGAAAATAGAAAAAAAGTTACCAAAGTGATTACTTCATGTTAATAAAAAATGTTTAGAAAAGGAAGGCTTACCTAGATCTTACTATGTATTTGCAAAAATCAGATACCTCAACATACAAACTGCATAGAAATAACTAGATAAGAAAAAAAAAAAAAAAAGTAAAAGCTGGAATATGGTTTAAAAATTCATTTTTTTATTACTTTTTGTACACAAGGACTTGTCATTTTCTTTAAAATCTTCCTGTTAGATCCATCTCTATCCTGGGCAGGTTGAGAGAGAGCTGCCCAAAGAGACTGCTACAGAAATACTAATAATGAAATTTTAATTAGAGGAGCTAATGTACAAAGCTGTTAAGATTTAGAGCCCCCATCTTTTGATACTCAAACTGCAGCCAGCAGGGAGTACCTGCTTACTGGCCATTCTACAAACTGAGTAGGTACTCCCTGCTGCAGCTGACTGCTGCTGTTGCCTCTGGGGTCTTGTTGGGTTTTTGTACCTCTGAAGGCCGGACCAAGCCTCCAGCTCTTAACCTGGAGCTTGACAGCAGGGGACGTCTTGTGGCATGGTCTGACCTGATGGCCACATCAGCCCTTAAACAGCTGGGACCTGCCTGAAAGCCAAAATCTCTCTCAAGTCAGACTCTACTCCTTCCTAACCCTACATCAAGTAATATTTGCTTGGATAAAGAGTGCCAGACAGGCACTGCCACATGTAAATTTATACAAAAATATAAAGTATGCCAAAATCATTCCATTCCCTTCCTTGTCATTTGTCCTTACTACCAGTCTCTCCATTCTTCTGTTCCAAACTGTTTGGAGTCACTGTGCAGTATTTAAGCAAACTGCTTTGCCAGTTTCATTACATGGGGATGAAAAGGATCACATCAATTTATGTAAGCTATGCACATCCACAGTTGAAACACTGTAATATTTAAAAGTATTTCTGATCCTGTCATAAATCTAAGGCTCTGTGCAAAGTCATCTTTTGTACAAAACACTAACATAATAGTTACTTCTGAAAATAACTGGTATTAGACCTTATGTAATCCTCTGAAATACATATTTCCTTCTTTTATGTCTATTACCAAACACCTTACTTTGGGGAAATTATTTGCAGATGTTAAAACAAGAAGAGGGTGGGGGGAAGTACACCTGCTACACAACAGTGTGACAAATCAATGAAACCACAGAGTCACAAAATGCCATTTAAATGCTATTAAAATTACATAATTTGCATATAAACTTTAATTCTGCCTCTGGAGTACTGGAGGGCGCAAACTTCCAACAAGCCAAGAAAAGACATGAAAGGCCAGACAGAGGGTCTACCCTCTTAAAACAGGAAAAATGTTCTTTTTTGTAAGTAAGTGTCTCATGCTTTGGAGGGGTGAGAAAGTAAGGAGAAGACCAAAAAAAAAAAAAAAAAAACACTTCTGTTTTCCCTTGAATTTACAGCAGTTACATTAGTCACAGCAGTAACTAAGAAATAACTGTGTAGCTATTTAGTACACAGGGGCAGTTGCAGGGCTCTTTTTTCAGGACATGGTGCACAAAGTGAGCTTCAAGACCACTGCCTGGGTGCCATGCTGATGTACACCACACTCCAGTCACTCTCTAATCCCTGTGCTAAAGATTGGGAAAGTCAGTGCCAAACACAGCTTTAACATCATTTAACCCAAACTTGGGGTTTCTTCAGATTAGGGAGGCTGCAAGTGTTTATTTTCTTATCATCCAAGTAGTGCAAAACCCATCAAGACAAAGAAGGCCGTAGAGGGAGTCCAAACTTTTCTCATCAATATGTTCCCTTTCAAAACCAGAATACTTCCCTTGTAATAATAGAAGGCAGCATCACCCATTACCCAATTACATTATCAAATCAGTTAGGTGCTTTTTTTTTTTTTTTTTTTTTTTTTGGAGGGGGAAAATCAATTAGCATCTCACCTATATCTAATAAGACCCAGTTATTTGATATCAGTAATGAAAAAAAAAATATGCAAAAAAAAACTCTCTAATTAGTAACCACAGTCAAATTTCCAAACAACACCATACTCTAAATATGCCCTCTCTAAACTCAATGCCCTTGTAAGAAGTCACTCTGCAGCAAGAAATTGCTAACATTAAAGCACTTCAGAATGTGCTCTTTAATAGTTGTTTGGTAGTAATCACACTAAAGAAACAAAAAATTATTTGGAGAGGGAAATATCTGCCTCCTTTTCCAAAGCACACCTTTTCTTCTAGTTTGTGTTAGTACCAGTCAACTAGAAAAAAATAATAAAACGAAAAATCTTTGAAATGCTATAATCAATTAAAAATTACTTTGAAGTCTGTTACTTTATAGTAACTTTGTGTAACAGAGATAAAGCCTGCTTTTCAATATTAAAAAGAAAAACAAGAAGACAACATGTGAAAACCAAAATAGCCTCCATGACAAGTTACTGTGCCCACTCAAATGTTAAGACTTACCAAATATCACACAAACTTACATACCACATTTCCCTTATAACCTTTCTCTCCTCAGATTCCATCCTGACTACCAACTTCTAAATACTCATACCTTCACTGCATGTCAACTTGAATTCCACAGTCCTGATTTTCCCACTGTGAAGACGAACTCTTACATAAACTCAACCATCCATTTAAATGCCAGATGATAAATTGTTTTGCTGCTTCCTGTGGCCTTTTATTTCCTCCCTTTTGATTAGAACATTTTATTAGGCTAATTAAGTACTGTGAAGCTTAGGTGAAAGATTTTTCAGAAGTGCACATTTCTGCTAATACTTCAACAAGAGAAAAATATGATGACACAAACACAGCACACTGAGAAGTAATCTGAAAAAGTAACAAAAAATAATGTAAAATACTTTGCCCTTGCTTCAGATCCTGAACTTTAACCACATCTGACTCCATATATATAGAAAGCAGATTGACAGCTGTCACACAATTTTACCTTGGTATTATCATTGTCATCTATAACATACCTGTGTGCTCAGGGCCAACCAGGCTATCCTAAATCCCGAGCTCTATTAAAGAAGAAAAGAGAAGCCAAACTGGGTTTCTATCCAAGTTCAGTACCTTTAAATTATTAAATTAGCCCTTTAGTGGGTAATCAAGTAAATGGCTGAAACAGTAAAAACCAAGCCATAAACTAAAGCAACCCTCAGGCTCTGAGAAAGAGCTGCAATATCTCAGCTGCCTGAGAGAAAGAATTTACCCTAATGATTTCTTCACTTCACCTGTTTGCTGAATGTAAAGCTCATTATCCAGGCTTCTGCTTATCTGCTCCAGCCAATCTTAAGGCTAAATTACACAGCTGTTGTGGGCCAAAGCAGACCTTATTCGGTGGTCTCTACTTGATCAGATGATGAGTAAGTTAACCAACCTGAGAGAAGTAATTTATACTAAATAAAGCTACTGTATGCATTTTAGAAGTTCACTTCTGAATTTCTCTTCCCTTTCCTGAACTCTAGTCTAGTAATTTTAAGTGAACAAATCCTTAAAGACATCAATGAAAATATAAAATATTAGTCAATCTTTTGAAATAGGGATAAAGTGTTTGTTATGAAGATAAGTTCATCTTCAATCTAATCCATATACCTTAAGTATAAGTTTGAAGAATTCTGAGCCTAATAAAACTTAGCTCTACAGACATCAATCTGTGAATGATGATGCAAACCCATCCAAGCTAATTAATCATTTTATACTCCATGCAGCAATAAGAATAGAAAGGAGTTGCATTACATATACTTTACCAGATTCTATGTTAGAAAGTCCTCAAGTGTATCACATTAGATAAAACTTTGGCACTACTTAGATTTTAATTCTACTTAAGTAGAATTTTAATGTAAGTTGGAAAGTGAATGAGTAACCTTACCTAAGCACATTTGACTGCTACATGTAAACGTGCCATACACTTCCTATTATGTAAAGCACAGAAATTCTTCACTCCAAGTTTTTATTATAGTCTGTGGCTCATAAATGCATTTTGACACTTTTCATCTCCGTAATATTTAGCATTCCTCTTGTACTAATTATTTGTGATAAAAACAGCTAATGTATTTCCTTTTTAGCTCATCTTTTTCCACAATATCTATATTTTAGCAGTGGTTTGATGAACAAAAGATACTGCTGTTCTTATTAATCCCTGTCTTTCCTTACGAGTAATCTCATTTATATTTCTTTGTAAGATTACACCAGCTGCCCACAGTCACCCTTAACATGAACAGGATTTAGTGGCATACAACACAGAAAAAGAGATTACTTCATACTGCTGCACAATTACTTAAAAATATATTTACATGTCAGCAAAATTGCTTTTTTTAATAAAAAGAGAAAAGTTGATTTAATCTATTAGGAGGACATCTTATGGCTTGTTGGAAACTTTTATATTCTGCATGGTTTACACCTGGTTTTCCTATGTATGGAGAATTTATATTGCTGTATTCTCCCTTCCCCTTGTTTAAATTACTTTGTATCTGACTCTTGAAAGAAGTAGGCATTTCTTTCAAAAAGGCTATTGAAACACAATAAAGACACTCATCACCTATTTCTGTTGAAAAAAAAATCATGCTAATGCTTGAATATGCAAGTTTAGTTTTGGAAAATACTACAGCAAGTACACTTTGATAAATATTAAAAAAAAAAAAAAAAAGAAACTGGGAGAACTATCCACTACTGAAGGGCAGTTTTTATACTGCTGTGTTGGTTTCCAGGTCTTAAGATTAGAAACTGCACTTGGAGTTGTGCTCTCTGCTCTAGAAGCACCAAACACCATTGCAGTGTTTTCCCTAATTTGCTTTTTTTTAGCAATTTGGAAGGCAATTTTGTTATTTGATAAGATGTCCATCACTAAATTCACCTAAACAGACATACAGGCACCCCTCCCAAACACACAAACACACACATACACATATTGATTTTACAAAAGTCTCATTTTCCTTAAGTAAGTAATCACAACACTGAAAATATTCTCCTGTGTGTTCGCTGATTTTCTTAAATGATTTGTCACCACTCTGCCACTCAAGGGAGATGGTTATTTCACTCTTCTGAGAAGCTAACTATGTTCAAAAGCAGCTAGATGAGGATGGTGATGTGATATAAATTCCAAAAGAAAAATGCATTGTCCATCCATATAGCCGTCCATCCTGAGAAACTTCCACTGCCAAATTCTTGCTATTTTCCATTGGTCATGGGGTTCCCATCAATAAATAGAAGGTCAGTGCAACAATGAGGAGCAAGCAGAATGGAGAAGAGAAGGTCTGATAGGCAGCCGAAGGCATGAAAATATCTTCATACTTGTAAATACTGACAACACGCTCTGACACGGGTGGAGAGTCGATATCATGACGAGTTATAGAACCTTTAGCAGGTAAGGGCAGAGAGAAATAACATCAGATGCAATTTTTTCTATAACTCTGCTGAAGAAACAGGCAGGCAGGTAATTTTCAAACCTATGGAAGCATGCAATATTACACTGTCAGGGAGTAGGCTCATTTCCTTGCTTTCTGAAATTAAATTTCTGAATAAAACAAATAAAATTCAAGTAAACAACAAACACTCTTCAAATGAATGAAGAACTTCTAGTTATGAAGTTCTTCTAAATTCAGCTTTAAGAAGTCGGGATAGTAGATACACAGCCAGGAAAACAAGACACGTCCTGTCTTTCTCTTTTTAAGCCTCATGCTGCCAGAATTTTAGTTCATAAAAAAAAAAAAAAAAAAAAAAAAGGGGCGGGAGAGAGGGTGTGTCTAGTAAGAATCACATAATTGAAAGACATTTATCAATTTTGGCACATCAGCTCTGTTGGTGAGATCAACTTACCCTGGATTGCTGGGCCCCAAGCAAACAGGTAGTACCAACTCAAGTGCAAATCTACGATGGTTTCTTCTCGGGGAACATAGACAGGACGCTTGAATCGACACGTGACACGATTGTTTTCAAAAACCCCTTCCTCATCTCTAGCAGGATTTCTCTGGATTTCTTTAGCCCACTGACCAACATTATAGAAGTGCTGTATTCGGACTCTTCCGTTATCATCATGAACACAAGCCATAACATCATCTCCCCCCTACAAGGTTAAAAAAAAATTCGAAGATGGAAAACAAAAGGGTCATAAAACACTTCCTCATTTATGTACATAATTTTAATTATTCAAAGCTAATCAAGACCTGGCATGCCCTTTCCTTCTTTCCAAGTTATATATACAGAAATATTTGTATCCCTAATCTTCAGTAAGATTGAAAAGTGCGTTAAGTGAGTAGCAATAGTTACATACCCTTACTATCTCTGAATTCTCTTTTGGATCTTTCCAAGAGTTATTTTACTTAGCGTATATTTGTAGGATATGATATCACTCTGACATCACATAATTAATTGATCTCTGGCAGGCTGTTTTCTTTTGTTATTCGTGAAGTTCTGGCATACTGCTTCATAAAATGTGGCAATCTTGAATCCCTGATGTGTACAAAATCCACTGCATCAAATCATGGACAGAAAACCAATATACTTGAGTGAGACAGAAGAAACAAACCTACTACATTTGAGAAAATAATAGCATCGATTACAGCAAGTCTTTTCTAATCTCTTCTCATGTTCACTTAGGGAACATAATTTCTCGTATCTCTTATGTCTTATAAGAAACGTAGTAATAACAGAATGCAGTATACCACCAGATACAAAGAAAAAAGTAATCAATATGTGCTTCTCCACTTAGCATAAGCAGCCAGCAAAGAACCAAGAGACAGAAGGAAGAAGGAGCCACTTATTTGTAAAGGTCAATCATTGAAATACTAAAGCATTACTGGAATAGTTACTCAAGGTGACTGACAGAGTGGTAGAGCACAGGGATGAGCATGATCTTCAGGAGTACTATCCCACAGAAGCCTTAGCACCAAGAGCCATTGGAACACTATCCAAGCTGGATGAGTGCCACAGCTATCAGTGCTGTTTTAAACACAGGCCCTACTCCTCCCATATCCTTCTGATATGTCATACTGATGAAAGACATGATGCTTGCTAGCATGATCATCCCTTAGTTCTTTCTTACAGGGAAAAGAGAGGAAAAGGGTGTATTGCAGCACTATGGGAATATTGCAATGTGCATTTGTAAAAGATGTGCCAGAAGCGGGTGGAAGGAGGGGACAACTAGGCTTGGACAGTTTCTGCACCTTGGTGCTGCTGCAGACCTTTCCAGCCTCTGTCTTGAGACTATCACTGCTCTCCATAACTTATTTCCCAAGATTAACTTTTATACATCTAAGCACAAATCACTCATTCTCAAGTACAAAGAGGCAAAAATAAAGGTGTATTTACACTGAAGAAAGAAAACTAGAAAGGAAAGAAAAAAGCATTTTGAATCTCAGTTAATGGAATGACATTTCAAAATTCTCCAAGGCACAAAAGCCTGTACGTGGAAAAGCATAACATTATTTGAGACAAAGAAATAGGTCATAGGACTTTAAAAAAATCTATTGAGGACACAAAATAGTTTTTTTCTCTTAACTTCTGAAGCTATCCAGGCCACACCATTTTGATTAGGGCCTCCAAAGCACAGCCCATTTCTCAGAGCTAAGCTGTTTTGACCCAGAGCCTTTTTTCATCAAAGCCTGTGCATCCCAGGACACCAAAACATCCTGGAAGTTATGAAAAAGATGAAGTCAGCAGGAGAGCCAGAGAGGAAGAGAGATGCTAGCTGGTTTAGCTCAGCTGACTTATGGGCTTATCATGCTCCACATGATATGGTGAAGCAAATTTGGAAACAAAACCTTTTCTTTACCCTTCTTTTATTCTTTTTAGCAGAAGCTCAGACTTAACCTGCTGCTTGCTGTGCCTGCTTTTCCAAGTGGCTGATGAGAGGAGGGCAGGGGGACCCTGGGGTCCACTGCAGGTACCTCAAAGATACAAACTGGTAACACAATCTCATAGTTTGGGGACAAATACTTAGAGGTGCTGAGCTGCTTTGAAAACCCTGTTGAGTACCTGCATTGGCAAGCTCTAAACTCTTCCCAAAATTTGTCTGTAAAGCTGTTCTTTACATCAAAAGCACAAATTGTTTCTTGTGACATGAACTGTACTTTATGACACAAAAACCTTCTATCATCTCGTGTTTATTTACAGTGTCATATTAAAACATATGTAGTAATGACTGAGAAGCACTTGTCCTCACATTTTCTTTCTATTTCTCATTTTGGGTCAAATGATGCCTTAAATTTTAGCTTTCATATTTTTCAGATTCTGTACTGCATTAGTATATACCTCTGAACTTCATATAAAGTGTTAGCAATTTCTTTTCACAGTTTAGTTGGACAAAACAATCCTTTTCCAACCTGAGAACCAAGGACATTGCTGTAGTTTCAGGTCCAAAAAGTGCTGTCCATCACTAAATTCACCTAAACAGACATACAGGCACCCCTCCCAAACACACAAACACACACATACACATATTGATTTTACAAAAGTCTCATTTTCCTTAAGTAAGTAATCACAACACTGAAAATATTCTCCTGTGTGTTCGCTGATTTTCTTAAATGATTTGTCACCACTCTGCCACTCAAGGGAGATGGTTATTTCACTCTTCTGAGAAGCTAACTATGTTCAAAAGCAGCTAGATGAGGATGGTGATGTGATATAAATTCCAAAAGAAAAATGCATTGTCCATCCATATAGCCGTCCATCCTGAGAAACTTCCACTGCCAAATTCTTGCTATTTTCCATTAGTCATGGGGTTCCCATCAATAAATAGAAGGTCAGTGCAACAATGAGGAGCAAGCAGAATGGAGAAGAGAAGGTCTGATAGGCAGCCGAAGGCATGAAAATATCTTCATACTTGTAAATACTGACAACACGCTCTGACACGGGTGGAGAGTCGATATCATGACGAGTTATAGAACCTTTAGCAGGTAAGGGCAGAGAGAAATAACATCAGATGCAATTTTTTCTATAACTCTGCTGAAGAAACAGGCAGGCAGGTAATTTTCAAACCTATGGAAGCATGCAATATTACACTGTCAGGGAGTAGGCTCATTTCCTTGCTTTCTGAAATTAAATTTCTGAATAAAACAAATAAAATTCAAGTAAACAACAAACACTCTTCAAATGAATGAAGAACTTCTAGTTATGAAGTTCTTCTAAATTCAGCTTTAAGAAGTCGGGATAGTAGATACACAGCCAGGAAAACAAGACACGTCCTGTCTTTCTCTTTTTAAGCCTCATGCTGCCAGAATTTTAGTTCATTAAAAAAAAAAAAAAAAAAAAAAAAGGGGCGGGAGAGAGGGTGTGTCTAGTAAGAATCACATAATTGAAAGACATTTATCAATTTTGGCACATCAGCTCTGTTGGTGAGATCAACTTACCCTGGATTGCTGGGCCCCAAGCAAACAGGTAGTACCAACTCAAGTGCAAATCTACGATGGTTTCTTCTCGGGGAACATAGACAGGACGCTTGAATCGACACGTGACACGATTGTTTTCAAAAACCCCTTCCTCATCTCTAGCAGGATTTCTCTGGATTTCTTTAGCCCACTGACCAACATTATAGAAGTGCTGTATTCGGACTCTTCCGTTATCATCATGAACACAAGCCATAACATCATCTCCCCCCTACAAGGTTAAAAAAGAATTCGAAGATGGAAAACAAAAGGGTCATAAAACACTTCCTCATTTATGTACATAATTTTAATTATTCAAAGCTAATCAAGACCTGGCATGCCCTTTCCTTCTTTCCAAGTTATATATACAGAAATATTTGTATCCCTAATCTTCAGTAAGATTGAAAAGTGCGTTAAGTGAGTAGCAATAGTTACATACCCTTACTATCTCTGAATTCTCTTTTGGATCTTTCCAAGAGTTATTTTACTTAGCGTATATTTGTAGGATATGATATCACTCTGACATCACATAATTAATTGATCTCTGGCAGGCTGTTTTCTTTTGTTATTCGTGAAGTTCTGGCATACTGCTTCATAAAATGTGGCAATCTTGAATCCCTGATGTGTACAAAATCCACTGCATCAAATCATGGACAGAAAACCAATATACTTGAGTGAGACAGAAGAAACAAACCTACTACATTTGAGAAAATAATAGCATCGATTACAGCAAGTCTTTTCTAATCTCTTCTCATGTTCACTTAGGGAACATAATTTCTCATATCTCTTATGTCTTATAAGAAACGTAGTAATAACAGAATGCAGTATACCACCAGATACAAAGAAAAAAGTAATCAATATGTGCTTCTCCACTTAGCATAAGCAGCCAGCAAAGAACCAAGAGACAGAAGGAAGAAGGAGCCACTTATTTGTAAAGGTCAATCATTGAAATACTAAAGCATTACTGGAATAGTTACTCAAGGTGACTGACAGAGTGGTAGAGCACAGGGATGAGCATGAACTTCAGGAGTACTATCCCACAGAAGCCTTAGCACCAAGAGCCATTGGAACACTATCCAAGCTGGATGAGTGCCACAGCTATCAGTGCTGTTTTAAACACAGGCCCTACTCCTCCCATATCCTTCTGATATGTCATACTGATGAAAGACATGATGCTTGCTAGCATGATCATCCCTTAGTTCTTTCTTACAGGGAAAAGAGAGGAAAAGGGTGTATTGCAGCACTATGGGAATATTGCAATGTGCATTTGTAAAAGATGTGCCAGAAGCGGGTGGAAGGAGGGGACAACTAGGCTTGGACAGTTTCTGCACCTTGGTGCTGCTGCAGACCTTTCCAGCCTCTGTCTTGAGACTATCACTGCTCTCCATAACTTATTTCCCAAGATTAACTTTTATACATCTAAGCACAAATCACTCATTCTCAAGTACAAAGAGGCAAAAATAAAGGTGTATTTACACTGAAGAAAGAAAACTAGAAAGGAAAGAAAAAAGCATTTTGAATCTCAGTTAATGGAATGACATTTCAAAATCCTCCAAGGCACAAAAGCCTGTACGTGGAAAAGCATAACATTATTTGAGACAAAGAAATAGGTCATAGGACTTTAAAAAAATCTATTGAGGACACAAAATAGTTTTTTTCTCTTAACTTCTGAAGCTATCCAGGCCACACCATTTTGATTAGGGCCTCCAAAGCACAGCCCATTTCTCAGAGCTAAGCTGTTTTGACCCAGAGCCTTTTTTCATCAAAGCCTGTGCATCCCAGGACACCAAAACATCCTGGAAGTTATGAAAAAGATGAAGTCAGCAGGAGAGCCAGAGAGGAAGAGAGATGCTAGCTGGTTTAGCTCAGCTGACTTATGGGCTTATCATGCTCCACATGATATGGTGAAGCAAATTTGGAAACAAAACCTTTTCTTTACCCTTCTTTTATTCTTTTTAGCAGAAGCTCAGACTTAACCTGCTGCTTGCTGTGCCTGCTTTCCAAGTGGCTGATGAGAGGAGGGCAGGGGGACCCTGGGGTCCACTGCAGGTACCTCAAAGATACAAACTGGTAACACAATCTCATAGTTTGGGGACAAATACTTAGAGGTGCTGAGCTGCTTTGAAAACCCTGTTGAGTACCTGCATTGGCAAGCCTCTAAACTCTTCCCAAAATTTGTCTGTAAAGCTGTTCTTTACATCAAAACCACAAATTGTTTCTTGTGACATGAACTGTACTTTATGACACAAAAACCTTCTATCATCTCGTGTTTATTTACAGTGTCATATTAAAACATATGTAGTAATGACTGAGAAGCACTTGTCCTCACATTTTCTTTCTATTTCTCATTTTGGGTCAAATGATGCCTTAAATTTTAGCTTTCATATTTTTCAGATTCTGTACTGCATTAGTATATACCTCTGAACTTCATATAAAGTGTTAGCAATTTCTTTTCACAGTTTAGTTGGACAAAACAATCCTTTTCCAACCTGAGAACCAAGGACATTGCTGTAGCTTCAGGTCCAAAAAGTGCAACCAAGAGTGAATTGAGGAGAGCAATCTGGGAGGATGAGACTTCATAAAACTGCTGTTAAGTCAATGCAAGTCTTCCAATTAATTTTTTGTGGGTCCTATCCCAGAACATCTAATTCCTGTATTTTTTCAGACTGCTACTTTCAAAACCACAAGAAACAGTCCTTTCTTTGACTTGTGATTTAGGACATAGGTCCAGTATTGTTCTATATACTCAGGAGAGTTTCTGTACATGAACACTGATATTATAAGCTGCATTTTAATCCTAAACATTTTACCAAGGATCACAGATCAAACATCTTTGCACAAGTCATCCATTGCTCACATTTTTAAAGTCCACACATTACATGCTTTTGTTTTGCTCATTGAAATTCAATGAAAAGTGGAGCTTTTGAATTAAAAAGTAAGTACAGGAATAAGCATAAAACAGAACCCAATAACAATCCAGAGGAGAGAGAAGAAATTTTAAGAAGACTGCCTTCTTGGTATAAATGTTTAAATTAGCAGGAGTCATTTTCTCACACATTTGTGGCTTCTCTGGAACAACACATGGGTATGAAAGAAACAAAAAAATTTCCCAAGTTAAACAAAAGTGAAATAAAAATTTATACTGCTGAAAGTCAGCTGATTTTCTCAAGAATAAAATCATTTGCTATTCAGTTTATGATGTGTCTTTTGCCCAAATTACACTGACATAAAGCGCAACAGGACATTTCCATGTGAATTGGCTTATCCCTGAGGGCTTTTCTAATGAAAAGGCAAAAAGCTAGTGACATTCAAACATTCAGAGCTGAACTGAAATACTGTTGTAGTTCTCAGAGAAGAAGGGAAAGGAGATGTTAGGAAGGATGAAACAATTTTCTGTGAGGCAGTGCTCCCAGGGGGGCTACTGAATGGTGCTTTGTTTTCAGCAAGCCAGTTTTACCTTACATGCTCTGTTTCTCAAATATAGAAATGTATATAAACCATTTATATCCTAGCACGTGAAAGTGTGTGTATTGCCAACATGAAAAACTGTACATATCTTACCATTTTCTTGTCTGAGGAAAATCCCACTGCCACCCAGCCATCTGTGTCAGCACTCAACTCAAATTCAACATCAGCTCCAATTCTGCGGTAACTCAGAAAGTAGTCACAAGTCTCCGCATTGCATCCAGGTTTACCATACCTAAATGGAATTGGAAATATACATAACATTTTCCTTGAAATTTCCTGCTATGGAACTTAATTAAGGTTTTGCAAGAAAAAGCTAAAAGAATGTACCTTGATATAATGGCAGTAAAGCATATATTCTGCTGGACATAAACTAGCATTGATTTTTTGCCAAGTATTACTCTTTCAGTGCATAGTATTCAAACACAAACAATAGCACAAAATATTACTGTTGAACTTCCTTGTTTTTTTTGGTTTTTTTTTTTTTTTTTTTTTTTTGAGTTCTTCATGAAAATACAAGAAAAAACTGTAGGATCATAACTATGATGTGTATTCTTAAATAAACTAATGTCCTCAAATAATATAGCAGTATGGTCTTAAATAACAAACATTTACTAAAATTACTATGAAACACTAACTGGAATCTCCAATATCACCAGTCAGCACCTGTAAACATAAAGGTATCTGCACTCTTATATCAGACTGACCTGAAGCATCCCTTGGTTTTTCCACAGTCATCCACTCTGATTTTTGCGAATGGGTCCACAGGAGGAGCAGTAGGGAAAGGGTAACCTGTATAATCAGAATAAACCATTACTAAATAAAATAAAGGACTAAAAATCAATAATACTAAAGAGAAGGTCTTCCAATAGCATTTACTTTGCTGATAACTGAACTGTTCAGATGAGTGACTACTTTGCCACATACAAAACCCACTGCTCAGATGGTCCTGGATCCAGGTAACAAAGTAACATGAATAACTGAAAACAAAACTTTTCTAAGGTTTCCTACATTCATCAAGGAGGGAGAAGAATGCTGGAGGGCAAAAGTTAAATGTAAGGCAGCAGGACCATGGACTATTGCAGTGCACTCTCTCCTTGTGCACTCATAGTCCCCTTGGGAAATCCATAAGGGAATTGACTCTTTAGCCATAAATGACAGCATTAGGTATAAATGCAGGCAGGGCACCAGATGCAGAGCTGTAGGAATTGATACTGAAAAGACCTTATAATACATCCTCCTTTATGAAGTAAAATAAAGCATTTACACATTGCAGTAAAAGGTAAGAGAGTATCAGGGCGGGGAAGTGCATGCAGTTATGGCCTGCAATCACTTGTGAAGGCAGACCCAAAAGAGTCAGACAGTGAGAGTTATGATTCCAAGTGATCCTGTCTGCTGGACTACAGTACCAAAGAAAAAGTGAGAAAGTTTACTAGCAGACCTATTCAGTCTTGGCTTGTCAGTGCTGGTATCTGTTCCATAAGCACAGATATTTTAATAGGATGTTCTTTTACTTAGCCAGGTAAAAACCAAAGTGCTAGCTGTGGAACTAGAAACTAATCTGAAAATGCTTCATTGAGTAGGAAAAGTAACTGAAAGACATTTATCAAGAAAAGTGTTTCACTGAGTAGGAGATGAACACTTCAGTTAGTTACAGCACCAGCACACAAACTTTTGACCTACACAACTTTGGGCATTCGGGAGCCCTGATTTACTTCCCTAGATTTCTAACAGTGCTAATGGAGAAAGTATGCTGTAAGCTGCACATCACAGTTACACTAACTGTATCAAGGGCAGGTAAATTACCCGGCATAAATAAGTTTGCTGAATTTCACAGCAGCGTGTAGCGGCGCATTACTGAAACACAGGCCACAGGACATGGAAATTTCTCACTCCTTACTTATTTTCAAATCCATTAAACAAATGGTTTTCCATGCAGCCTAGCTGCAAAAGTGGTGATTTAACATTCCACCATTTGCAAGTTCAAAAAAACCCCCACACCAAAACCCACGACCACGCTGCTTCTTGACACTTTACAGCATCACACGTCCTTTCGAAGCACACACACCCCAGGACTCCTTTTTACGCTACCAGCCCGGAAAGCTTCGCAAGAGGGGAAGGCGAGGGGCCGCCGGCTGGCCCCGCTCTGCGGGAAGGCGACGGCCCCCGGCCCGAGCTCCCGCCCGGGGGAATGCCCGTGTCCGGGGATGCAGTGTCCGGGGATGCCGTGCCCGGGGATGCCGTGCCCGGGGATGCCGTGCCCGGGGATGCCCGTGCAGCGAGGCGGCGGCTCTGCGGAGAGCGGGGCAGGGCGCGCTGCGGGCCCGGCCCCGAGCGGCAGCGCCGGCTGAGGCGCCGGGCCGGCGGAAGATGGCGGCGGGCGCTGGCCTTCGTGCTGAACGGCGCTGCCACAGCCTCCCGCCCTTCGCCCCCGCGCCCGCCCGGCCCGGCCCGGCGCTCCCTCCCGGCCCCGGCCCC